GGTGTGTGCGCGTGCGTGTGTGTATCCGTGACTGTGTGTGTGTGTGCCTGCACATGCGTGTGTGTATGTGTGAAGCACAGGGCCAAATATCCCTCGTGTCAAGGTGCCTGCATACAGGTGACCTGCAGGGAGAGAGCTGCCCGGCTCCCTGCAGTGTCCCCACACATGTGTCATGCTCACCTCTGCTTCCAGGGGAAAAGAAGAAATACCTGCCCCCCACTTCCCGGCAGGATCCCAAATTTGAAGAACTGCAAAAGGTATGGCAGCTTTCTGTGGTCTCTCCTGATTTCTCTGGAGGCAGTCTTTTCATCTTCTTGGGGTGGGGACAGCAGGCCACCCCCCCCGACCTCAGGCCAGCGGTGGTGACCCTGCAGGTCCCCGGCAGACCTGTTGAATGACTACATGAAAGAACATTTATTGAGCACCGACTGTGTGCCTTTACATAGATGATCCCAGCAAGCCTCACGACGGTCAAGAGGCATCTGCTGTTTTGCATCCCATGGAGCGAATAGTGAGGCTCGGAGGGGTGACCTGACCAGTGGGGGACACATGGCTGGCCAATGGCTGCCCAGAACTGGAGTTTGACCCAGGCCCCAAACTGTGTGCCCTTTCACCTGTCTGAGGCAATGGAGAGCTGGCAAAATGGGCAGGAACGGGCGTGGGTCACCCAGGTCACCCGGTTTCTCCATGGCTCTGAGTCTGCTGCTGTGGCTGCTGGACCAGCTGAGCACAGGCAGGCTCAGGCCTCCGTTTTCCTCCACCCTACTTCTCCAGTCTCCACATGGCCTTTCTGTTGCCTCCTCCAGGGAGGCCTCCTGGCCTATACCGCCTTCCACCCCAAGACTGTGGCCATTTCCCATCCCTTCCTTTCGGCCTCCCGTTCCCTCGCTCCCTCCATCAGGCACTGGGATGCAGGGTAGAGCCAGCACGGTCCCGCCTGGGAAACCTGATGGGGCACTGAAACGTCTTAGTTTGGGCTCCCCCAAGAGCTGATCCTGAGATAAGGGTTTGGGTGTAGGTAGTGAGTTGGCAGGTAATAGAGGAGACAAGGAAAGCAAGAAGGGAAGGGAGATGGGGAGGGAAGGGGCCCCTGGTGGAAACTGAAGCCTGCTAGGCCCCTCTGGGAGCAGGTGCGGAGGTGGAGGAGCTTGGGGGGTTTCCTCACCAGCTCTGGCGTAGCTGGCGCTGCTCCCTTAAAGGCACAGGGCTCTGCTTCCTGCCCTTCTGGCCTGTTGAGCCCAGGCAGGGTGGGGCGCCCAGGCAGAGTTGCAGAGGGGGTGCCCCACAGCCGGAAGTCTGGGGGATCGGGTGGGACACCCACAGCCCCTGTGCCGGTGTCCTGGGGCTGCCACCACTAAGTACCATGAACCACGTGGCTTAAAACAAGGGGAGCTGATGGTCTCCCAGCCTGGAGGCTGGAAGTCTTAAGTCAAGGTGTGGGCGGGGGGGTTCCTCCTGGAGGTTCTGAGGGGGAACCCATCCCAGGCCTTTCTCCCGCCATCAGAGGTCTCTGACAACCCTTGGTGTCCCTTGGCGTGTAGACGAGCCACACCAATCTCTGCCTCCTTGTCACGGGGCCTCCTCTGTGTTCCCAGTATCATGTCCTTCCTCTCCTGAGCTCTTACCAGAGGGGCCTGCTTCGTGTCCAGATTTCTACCAACAGCCTCTTCGAGGCAATTTAGGCTTTTCCTATCAAGGGCCTTCAGAGCTCTTACCAATTATCCAGTCCCACAGCCACCTCCCCACTTTACAGGTACCAATTACAGTAGCTTCCTGGCACCGACACCTCGCACAGGACAAAAGACAGTCCCACCACGCCCTGGTCCCTGGGAGCCCAGGGTGGGCCCCTAACTCAGCCTGGGAGAGCAGAGAGGGCTTCCCAGAGGAGGTGACATTTGACCTGGCCTTGAAGGATGGGTAGGAGTTGGCAGGTGGGAGGAGGGCATTCCAGGTTGAGGTCAGAACTGAGCCAGGTGGGGGACCAGGTGAGGAGTGGTCCCGGGTCAGCTGTCCTCTTGGGGTCTGCAGGTGCTAATGGAGTGGATCAATGCCAAGCTCCTCCCTGAGCACATTGTGGTCCGCAGCCTGGAGGAGGACATATTTGATGGGCTCATCCTGCACCACCTTTTCCGTAAGTGGCAGCTCCCAGGGCTGCGCGGGTCTGGGCCCCAGCCCCCCAGACCGGCCCCACCAGGCCCCCAAGGGTGGGCTCCTCACTCAGCTTCACCCTCCTGCCCCCTGCTGAGTGTCATGTATGGAGCACCTGCTGTTTATAGGCTGCTGTGGATAACAAAAGAACACAGGCCCCTGGCCTCGGGCTGCCCCCCCCCGCTGCTGGAGAAGACAGGCCAGCAGTGAGAGGACCAGGGCGGGTAGAGGTGGGCTGGGCTCCTGCCCGGGGGGGGGCCCTGTCTCAATCTGGAAACACCTAGTGCTCCCCAGGTTGCCTCCACTCTCAGGGCTGCCTCCTGGCCCCAGACAGGACCCCCACCCTGCCCCCAGGTACCCTACCCCCTTGCTGTTGAGATGTCAGGTTTGGTCTACACACCTGCCTTCTGCACAAAACTGTGAGGTCCCGGAGGGCTGGGGTGGGCCCGATTCTGGTCCTCAGCCGGCCTGGGAGCCCTTTGTAGTTGGCTACCGAGTGATCCTACCAGCCCCTTCCCCAGCACCTGCCATGGAGCGGGTGCGGTTAATCCTCAGAAAAACTCTATCCTGTTAGTGTCCCCATTTTACGGATGAGGAGACCGAGAGGCCTAGTCACTTGTCCAAGGTCTCAGAGTGAAGAAGGCGGCGGAGTCAGGATCTGAGCCTAGGGGTCTAGGCCACACTGCCTTGCAGAACGGAGGTGCACAGAGCTGTGCAGAGGGCTGAGGGAGCAGGCACAGGGTGGTCACGGCGAGGGGCCAGTGGAGGGCAGCTCAGAGGGTGTGGGCTTGCTCAGGTCACACAGCTTATGGAATGGGGGGGGGTCCCCCAGTGCCCTCCCCCTCCCCCCCACACTGTCCTCCCCCCTCCTTCCCCCTCCTCCCTCTTCCGTTTCCCCCCACCTCTCCCCCAACTCCTTCCCTGGCTCTCCCACTCTCTCCTGCCCTCAGAGATGCTGACCGGGCTCAAGCTGGAAGTGGAGGAGATGGCCCTCACGGCCCCGAGCCAGAGGCGCAAGCTCGAGGTGGTTCTGGAGGCCATCAACGGCAGTCTGCAGGTGGAGGAGCGGCAGCTCCAGTGGAGCGTGGGAAGTAAGTGGGGCCTCGGCTGGGGCAGGGTCCAGAGGAGGGTGGGGGGCGCCTGGGTCCCTTTGCACCCATGACCTCTGCTCACCCAGCAGCTGTGCTCACCTGCCTTTGGTATGGGGACACCCCGGGGACTTGGAAGAAGCCCGGCCTCCTGGGCAAAGTCGTGCACCTGTGGGGACTGCCGCGGTGTGGGCGGCATAAACTTGGTCAACCATGCAGCCCCTGTTTGGATCCCAAGCACCGTGAGCCCCCGCTTACCTTGTCAGATGGGTGCTGCCGGTCCTCTTCCATTAATTGGTTTAAGTTACACCTGCAGAGCTGGCTTGTGGGGAACAAGCGTGAGCACAGCACCCAGACCCGACCCCAGCCCATTAGTGGCTCAGTGTGACCTTCCCGCCTTTCGGAGCCCCACATTCCTCCCATTTTCCAGATGAGAACACTGAGGCAGAAGGGGGTTCGGTACCTTCTCCAGGGCTGGGGGTGATGAGGGAGCTGTTTTCAAGCCCAGTTTTGGTTGGGTCTCATGCCACTGCCTTCACCACTTGGTTTAAAGACTCACTTTCAATGACCAATGGGTATAATGTTGGCCCTGAATTAAGTCACACTCATCTGAATCCAGTAGTTTCTCTGGCTGGGACCCCACTGTAGGGCATCGGGTTACGCACAACTGTCAGCAGGGACTGCCTCTGTGACCGAAGCCCCGCCCACACGGTGCCTTGTGCTGCATTCGCAGAGCGGGGTGACAAGAGCAAAGGGTGACTGTTTTGGGTTCAGAACGAGTGTCTCCAGAACTCTGCCTTCCAGAAGTCTGGACGCAGAGCTCCTTGGTCTTCAGAGGGTGGTTGTGACCACAAAGAGACCTCCATGTGGCCCCAGGCTTGGGCAGCCCCTCAGCTCTGACCTGTGCCGCCCCCCCCCCCCAGCCATCTTCAGCAAGGACCTGCTGGCCACCTTGCATCTGCTCGTGGCCCTGGCCAAGCACTTCCAGCCCGACCTGCCCCTGCCGACCAACGTCCAGGTGGAGGTGATCACCATGGAGGTACGAGTCTGGGCCTCAGGGGACCCCTGTGTATAGGCTGAGCATTTTGGGTCCATATCACCATACCCTGGATTGGGGGTGCTGCATGGGAGGGGGCTGACCCTCCCTTGAGATAGATCACATCCCTCCAGGACAGCCATGGGGGCTGGGCTGGAGCTGTGGGTGGAAGATGTCGAGAGTCCAGGGGGGCCAGAAGTAGGTCTGCGGTCTGGCCAGTCCCACCTGCCTCAGTGGATAGCATCTGCTGGTGGGGGCGGTGTTAGGAAGGTCCTGGCTGCTGGCAACCATGTCACATGGGCCATAAGTGGTCATGTGTTCATGGCCTTTTGGGAGCCTTCACAGCCTTGGCCCACGGTGCTGCAGCGTTGTCCCTTGGTCACTATGGACGGCTGTGACTATGCAAGGGAGCCTCCTCACTCTCCACCTGCACCTGCACCTCCACCTTGCTCTAGCACACTCACAACCGGTGCTGAAGCTCATGTCCCTGGAACCCACGGCTTCTCCCTCAGGCAGAATTTGAGCGCCACAAATGGGCCCCCACCTACTCCTGCTCTCCATTACCCCTTCCCCCAACCTCCGAGTACCTGGTGAGCACTGGGACTTCCTGTCTTCGAGCTTACCGTTCACTCAGGTGGAATCATTCTTACTTTTTTCAAAACCATTGATTGAAATTCTCTACTAAATAGTGTTATGACTTTGTTTATCATTCTTATGTAAATCAGAGGTGACTTTATTTCTTCACTCCTTCACTTATTCATTCACTCATTCATCCATCCATCCACCCACCTGTCCACCCGCCCCTCTGTCCACATCTATCCATCCATCCACCCACCCACCCATCCACCATCCATCCATCCATCTATCCATCCACCATCTATCCATCCACCATCCATCCATCCATCTATCCATCCACCATCTATCCATCCACCATCCATCCATCCACCATCCATCCATCCATCCATCCTCCATCCATCCATCCACTCATCCATCCATCCTCCACCCATCCATCCATCCATCCATCCTCCATCCATCCATCCACTCATCCATCCATCATCCATCCATCCATCCACTCATCCATCCATCCATCCATCCATCCATCCACTCATCCATCCATCCATCCATCCATCCATCCATCCTCCATCCATCCATCCACTCATCCATCCATCCATCCATCCATCCATCCATCCATCCATCCTCCATCCATCCATCCACTCATCCATCCATCTTCCATCCATCCATCCACTCATCCATC